CCCCCCAGCAGATGGCAACAGGCGACTGCTACCAGCAGCATAGCCATAGCAAGCATTAGGCAGAGTATGTATGTCTATCCGGAAACGAGTGGCCGTGTGAGGCTAAAATGCCAAAGGGATCTGGCCTCCCTGTCTAACTTCACTCACGCAGGGCGAGAATCACCATCAACATCGCCCCGAGCCTGATTCCCACACATACCTTCTCTCTCAAACCTTCTATTTTACCAGCTCTGATGCCAGGTGTCTCTCCTACGGTCCTCTCTACTTCAGTCACTGCAGTGGTGGCAGAGAACCCACAGACAGTCGGCACGGTGCTGGGGCTGACGAGGGAGGGAACAGGTTTCCACACCCAGGGCACGGCTCTTCCATCAGGACAGCCTCTTCTCAATTGTGCCCACAGGTAGCCCTTCAGCCCAGTCCCTGCTCTGCTCAGGCAAGTGTTGCAAAGCTCTGTACCTCTACTGACCAGTGCTCAGAAGCCACACTTCTGCCAGGAAGCTGCTTTCTTGAAGGCTCTTTGGCTCTGTGGGTTGGCACACCCACTGTGACCACCTTGCTCTGTGGGCTGGAAAGCCCACCACAAAGTCTCATCTCTGCCAGTCTTCCCAGGTTCTGCTGCCACGGCTTCTCATCATCCCTCACTAGAGATGTTAAAGTGTTCTTCTTTATGCTTCCTGGGTCTAGGAGGTTCTCAGCACAGAGACCCTGGATCCAAAGGATACACTCCACTCCCGTCTCTTCCGTCTCAGTGGTTGTGCCGGTCCCCTTTCCTGCCTTTGGGATGGCTCATTTTAAGAGTTGTGGGATGGCAAAACGAACGAATCCCCTTGTTAAGAGTCCCATACGCCTTATTCACATTATTAGCAGGCTAGCTAATCCCTGCGTTGGGCCATAAGCACCTCGTTTGCATAGCCTTACACAATCATTTAGATGGGAGTTATGAGACCACGGTGGGAAAGGCATATAAAAGCAATCCATTGCATCTTGTAGGCAGGTACTACTATTCTTTCCATTCTGCATGAAGAAACTGGAGCAGAGGTCATCAGCCAGCACAGCGTCCGTCGGTCCCTTGAGGGACAGCCACAGACTGCAGGGAATCTGAGCTGGATATCACTCACCATTTAAAGCACCTAACATACCCCACCCCACTCCTGGCAAGCCACCTCCCAGCCGTAGGCTGGCTCCCATGTGGAAGCCTGGCCCTTCCATTTCTCACTGAGAACCAGTAGATTAGGGCTCTGGATCTGGCTGCTACAGTTCAAATCCAGGCTCTGTCCCTCTTTGGGTAAGTTACTTTACCTCTCTGTTTGCTTACTTTAAAGGTGTGCTGGGAGGTAGTGATGAGGGCATATGTAAATCAGTGCCAACACAGGGCCTGGGGCACAGCTGGTGCTCAACAGGTCTATCTATTCCAGAGCATCTCCTATTAGTTGGCTGAGTACCAGCCTGGCCTCCCAGGCTCCAGGTGTTGAGGAGAAGGTGACCAGGGGACCATGAAAATCACACTTCTTTTGAGTGAAGCGGAATCTGATCTTGGACATACTGAGAAAACACTGGCACACAGGCCAAGGGGCTTCCCTAAGGACACCCAAAGACACAAGTCAGCTGGGATTGGGGATGCAGGGGGCTCCTGGGGACTCCCCCTGAGACACACAGGGATTGGTCTCCAGCCAGCACCTCTCACCAGGCTTAAGAGCCAGAAGTCCCCAGAGTCCCTGGAAACTGAACCCTCCCACCCCCCCCACTGCTTAGTCAATCAGCACCAAGCCCAGGCCCAGCTCATACATGCCTCCCTTACCTGCCACCAGCAGGCCTGCGCACCACTCTCTCCAAAGGAAAACGGGAAGCAGGCCAGAAACGAGCCTGTCTTTTTATAAACGTTTCTTAAAAGAATCCATGATTTATTTCCCAGTTCTCTGGATCTGCAGAATGAATCCAGTCCCTGCTGTTCCCCAACAGTCCCCGGAGTCCCTTCGGTCCAGCCTACCCCAGTAAGCCATCTCCTGGGCGAGGAGGACCACCTCCTGCAATGGAGGACCACCTCCTGCAACAGAGGACCACCTCCAGAGGCGAGGCCCTGGCTCACATACCCACTGGCTCCAAGTTGTGTGGGAAGCCATGGTCGAGGGAGCAGCTGTGATTGATATGAACCAACTGCTTCCTGCTCTTCCCACTTTCTCTTCTTCCTCCTCCTCCAGTGTCCACACAGAACCCAGCGCCTACAGGTCCCGGTGGAGAGGGAGGGGACTCTGCACAACTGGTTTTGCGGAGAACTGGCTGTGTCCCCTTGGACACCATGTAGAAAGGAGCCTGTGGGTCGAGGGAGCTCCAAGAAACTTGGTCTGATGTTCTGGACTTCCCAGCAGAAACCTCGGAAGTCTGCAGAATCCCAGTGCATCGAGGCTGAAATGAATCTTCCCAGAGAAACCGCACTTCTAGCGAGACCACTGGAACACTCACTCACTAGGGGGAAGCCCAAGCCCCCAAAGGCAGACAATTCAGAAGGCACAGAGGACAGATAAGGGAAATAATAACAATAGTCCTAAGCACCATGGTTTGGGGGGGTGAGTTAGTTAATTGTGCCAGCCTGGCCGATAATCACATGTGGGGCTGGTTGAAAGGCGGAGGGATAAATGGGTGGTGAAGCCTCGCCTTTCTAGTTCTCGGGTCTCTTGTTTTGTGATGGTTGTATCGGGTGCAGCTGCCTTAGCAGTTCCCTGCTTCAGCTTGCAAGATTGACTTCCTCCAAGACATCCCCAAGGAGAAGCCGCATGGATCTATCCCGATGCAGCCCTGGGTGCTGGAGCAGCCGTATGGAGACCCTTGCCAGTGCTGAGATGCTTACACGTTCACGGACTCAGCTTTCCTCCTGCAGTCGGCATCATTGCCTCTGTTTTGTGAGGTGGAGGACTTTGTGGACTGGTGTTGGGTTAATGGGTTAATGTTGGACTTGCGGGCTTGGGCAGCATTGGGTTGGGATGTTTTCGTGATGCACCTTTTCTTTGCATAAAACTCTCTCTTATACGTGAGTTGCTGTGGATTTGTTTCTCCAAAGTACCTAGACTAATACAGGGGGCTTGAGGACACTTTGGGGGAAATCTAACTTTACAAATCTCCGAGCCTCTTCTTCTTCTGTAAAACGGGATGGACATGCCTATTTCCCTGCAGGGGAAATGTTGAGAATGAAGCCACCTGGGAAGGTGAGTCAGACACACAGCGGGGCGCTGCTGGTGGAGGCAGTGATGCCGTCCAGGTGAGACAATCCCACCAACTATGTCCCGGCCACAGCCATCTCTCCCTGCGTGCAACACCTGCCAGAATCCAGGACCAGAGAAAACCAGGTGGGTGGCAACAGGCCATGGCCATGACCTGTGGGCACTTGGATGCTGCACCTGATGGTGTTGGCTCCAGGGGATGATGAGAAATCAAAGAACACGACATTGCAGGTGCCCCCTTACTTTAAGCAAGCTCCCTGCCGAACAGCATACACCCAAGTGCCGTATGAAAAAAGAGCTGGGTAGGACTGAGTTCAGAAGGGGAGTCCTATCTGACAGGTTCATGATAAAGTTACTTTTAACCTTGAGTCAGTCCAGAGCAGTGACAATTGGGTTCAGTTTACCCCAATCTAGTTACAAACCATGTTTCCAGGAATCCTTCCCTGGAGTGAGGCAAGTTCTACCCACCCAAGCTCATAAATACAGAGTGGGCTGCGAGCCCAGGTGGGAGAGACCCAAGTGAGAACGGCCAGCTACCCAAGTGCCAC